AAAGTTGTATCCAAGATGGCCGACTTCTAAATGGCCACCATGGTCACCGCCCATCTTGAGGAGTTTGCACATATGCTTATTGAAGGACTTCATGAAGTCACGACTCCCTGACAAACGGAAACAACGGTTACATACATTTCTGGGTAAAAACGACCCTCTGCAGGTTTCAGCAGTTTGATTTTATTTGAAGAAAATAATCTGGAACAAACAAACATTTATACAACCGGTAAACACGGCTTTCACATGTGCTTCATCATTTTGGTTGTTTAGTAGAAAACAAACTCACTCTGGGCCTTCGGGGTTCGAATTATTTACAGGAAATAAATTAAAGTGATAAACAAGAATCACTTCAAAACTACAATCAGTCATCAGTTTATCGGGACGGGTTTCCCTCCTACGGTGTCCTCACAAAGCCTACAATTTACAAAGTCCTCACAAACACAGACATACAACAGCACACACACACACATGGAGTGGGGAGTGGGCGGGGCCTGAGAGGACAGGTGTGTCTTCTGTCAGCAGGTTAAAGGTTTGGCACAAAGTGAACTCACTTTGATACTGTCACGTCCAGGCTGTTAAGGGTCTACCCTCAGGTCCTCCTGTGGGATTCTGGGAAATGACCCCAGCCCACAGCAGCTTGTCCAGGTCTCACACACCTGGTCAGAGGGTCCAGAGGAGTTCGACAGGTAAAAATAAATACAGTCAGACCTGAGAGTCCAGACGGGTGTCCACATACGAGCGAGTAAATCCAGAACCAGGGCTGGTTGTGCTTTGGTTCAGGGCTGACTGCGGTTCAGGTTTTTATCTCGGCTCCGTCGGGACGGACTCCTCGGCTCTGGTCGCTCGACCCCAGAAGGACCAGAGTCTGTCACATTTAAGATAATTCTCGGGGTCAGTTACACGTCGTGGGTCTTCGTCCACAGAGCTCGTTCTTCATCGCTCGTGTTCCCGGCGAGAGGAAGCGTTCAGCTCCGCCTCCACAGACAAACATCACTTTGTTTGTGCCGCTCACATTTGACCTCCTGCCATCACCTGATCAGGCGCCGATCAGTCTATGAGAAACAGCTGAAATCAGCCCTGAACCAGAACCAGCTCTGGTCCTGGCTCCACCCACCGGGTCAGACGTGGAGGCGGGAGGAGCGGAGCTTCCACCTCCTGGATCGCACTTTGAAGAAGAAGAAGAGGAGCATGAGGAAGAGGCAGGAGCACACGTACAGCACCACACACAGACTCATGTCCACGCTGTTAAAGCCCAGAAGCCAGACTCCGCCCCCTCCTCCAGCCACACCCACCGCCTCCCTCCTCTCCTCCCCCTTCACAGCCTGGCGTCCCGGACGAGGAGTCTGGGTGGAGGACTTCTTCTCCGAGTCGCTCCTCGCGCCTCCTTCGTGCTCCTTGGGAACTGGAGGAGCAGGAGGTCGAGGGGGGGTCACGGAGTACTCGGGGGACAGGTTGGAGGCGGCGTAGTGTTGTCGTAGAAAGCGGAGGACGTTGTCCTGGTTCCAGACGTGGACGCCGTTTTTCTCCTCGTGGCAGGAAGCGCAGAGGGAGGGGCTTGGCCATGGAGCTTTAGGGAAGAGGGGGTCGTCGCTCAGAGAGCCTGGAGGGG